ATTACTGTTACAGCTCGTGCTAGTAGCATCAGAAGCACCATTAATACTACATCAAAAAATGTGTTAGCGTTATTTATACGGTTGACAAACGAATGATATTAAGTTTCGTTTCCGTGTTGTCCGACCGGTACCATTAGTAATGCAAGCCGTATTAATAGCGCTGATAGTATTCATCGTGTTATGGATCGTTATATTGTGTTTTATTACGATTGCTACCATACCATAACCGTGTTTTGGACTATGGCTATTCATAGTAGCCGTATAAGTTGTAGTACGAGTGCGAGTTGCAAAAGCGTTACGATGGTTAGTGATGGTACTATATGTGTTAGTGTTGTTACCATTAGTAGTATTATTAAACGTAGTGCTAATATCAGTACGACCATTCGCATATTTAATCTGGCGATGGTTGATAATCACAGGAATCAGCAGAATAGCTGCATTATGAGCATCACTAGTGTGACTAGTGCTAGTAGTACTAGTAATGCGAAAAATAGTGTGAGCATTATCGTTAGCAGTAGTAGCATAGCTACCCGTACTAGTCGCATTAGTAATAATATTGTTCTGAAAATATATTTTTGAATAGTGTGGTTATACTTTTTCGTTTTCATATCATATCAGTAGTGATATTCTTACGTGCGTGTTACGAGCCGCATTGGTATTATGGTTATGTTCCGTTGTCGCCTTAGTAATGTAAGTAGCTCCATTGTCAGCGTTACCCGCTGCACGACTATTAATATGCGTCGTCTGGTTATTCAAATGTTGATTGGCTGTATCAGTCGTGTCGCTATTATCAGTACGATTATTACCACTTGTACGACTAAGGATTGCAATGTTATTCAAATGAGTCGTCGAAAGATCGATAGAACGTTGTATCCACATCGTTGGTATTCAAATAATGAATGAAAATAATAGCATTACGATGCGCACGGTTAGTATGTAATACTAGTCGTAGTAGCCTTGTTGTTATTATTCTTACCCGTTTGATTATACGATTGGTACTGCTACTAGATTCCTCCTTCCTCCGCCGATTCCTCCTCCGCCTCCTCCTTAGCCTCCTCCTCCTCCTCCTCCTCCTCCTCCTCCTCCTCCTCCTCCTCCTCCTCCTCCTCCTCCTCCTCCTCCTCCTCCCCAATGTCTGTTTCCCCTCCCCCCCGTTCCCGCGGGGCCCCGCCGCCGCCCGCCTCTTGCGGCGCATGCGGGGGCCGCGAGGACAGCGCGACCCACTCGTCCTGAGGCACGCGCTGGCGGGGCTCGCCGTCCTCCTCATACGTCGCCCTCCCTCGTCCTCCTGCCTCCCTGCCCCCTCCCTCCTCCTCCTGCCTCCCCCTTCCTCTTTCCTCCTCTCCTCCTCCTCCTCTCCTCCTCCTCCTCCCCTCCTCCTCCCCCTCCTCTTCCTCCTCCTCCTCTCTCTCTCCTCTCTCTCCTCCTCCTCCTCCTCCTCCTTTCCTCCTCCTCCTCCCTCCTCCTCCTCCACCTCCTCCTCCTCCTCCTCCTCCTCTCCTCCTCCTCCTCCTCCCCTCCTCCTCTCCTCATCTCCTCTTCCCTCCTCTTCCACCTTCTCCTCCTCCTCCTCCCTGCCTCCGTCTTCCTCCTCCTCATCATCGTCATCCTTCTCTTCCTCCTCCTCCTCCTCCTCCTCCTCCTCCTCCTGCGTCCCTGCTCCTCTTCCCTGCCTCGTCCGTCACGTTTTCCGTATGCATAAACCCCCCACGTCGCACCCCCAGTCGTGTTGGTACGGCGGGCCGAGCGTTTCGCGTGAGACCTCCTTACCTGTGATGGTCCTTAAGCTCGACATTGGCAACCGCTTCAAGGATGGAAGGCGGGCATCTTTCTAAATGTGGATATCGTCCTTGCGCCGAGAACATTCGTTTTGAAGGTTTGCAACCCTTTGAAGGATGGAGGGCGGGCCGTTTTCAAAATGTGGTTGTCGCCTCAATGCCGCGCACATGTCCCCTTGAAGTTCGCAGAGGATTCAACGCGGGTCGTTGTTAATATGTGATTATCGCCCGAACGGCGCGTACATTCGCACTATAAATGTGCAACCGTTGAAAAAGATCGTATTTGTGCAATCACAGGGATCGAATAGTGTTCGGTCATGACTTGGGATTGACAAGGCGCAACGGTCACATTGATCCGCGGGGCCGGAGTCACAGAACTTGTGACCAGGCACCATATCACACTGCCAGAACGCAACAATCACGTCGATTCGCGTCGTTGAACTCCCAGGAATTGTGTTTGGACACGGTTGGGGATTCTCTGGCGGCTGTCTTCCAATGGATCATTTCCCGCAATGGAAACACATTTTTGCAGCGACATGCGAAGAGGGAACGGAGGGAGGGCCTATTGCAATCGTTAATGGGTTTGGGGTTTACACTGGTCCTCCGCCTCCTCCTCATCCACCTCCTCCTCGACCTCTCCCTCCTCCTCCTTCTTCTCCTCCTCCTCCTCCTCCTTATCATCATCATCATCATCATCATCATCATCATCATCAGATCAGCCA